TCTGCTCCTATGATGCTGCTTGGCCTGCTGTGTTCATCCAGCCCTGCACCTTGTTGTCCCTGTCTCTCTGACTCTCTGTCTCTCTCTCTATCCCTGTCTCTCCCTGACTCACACTCTCTGTCTCTCTGGTGTGTGCGCGCGCGCGCACACACAATCTCTCTCTCTCTCTGACGCGCGCGCGCACACAATCTCTCTCTCTCTCTCTGACGCGCACGCGCACACACTATCCCTCTCTCTGATGTGCGCGCGCACACACACACAGATGTTGCCAGACCTGCTCAGTTCCTGTTATTTCCTCAGAGGTTTTTTCAGCCTGGCTCTTGGCATGAGGGAATTGCTGCACTTCAGAAGAATGAAAGTCATAGAGCTGTACAGCACACAAACAGACCCTTTGGTCCAACCCATCGTGCTGACCAGATGTCCTATATAATGTCCCATTTGCCAGCATTTGGCCCATATCCCTCTAAACCCTTCTTCATATACCAGTGGCTACAGGACCAGGTTAGAAGCTAGGAATACCGTGGCAAATAATTCACCTCCTGACTTCTCAAAGCCTGCCCACAAGTCAGGAGTTTGATGGAATACGCCCCACATGCCTGGACAAGTGCAGCCCCAACAACACTCATGCTTGACACCATCCAGGACAAAGAAGCCTTCTTGATTGGCACTACATCCACACCCTCCGCCACCAATACTCAGTAGCAGCAGTGTGTGCTTTCTACAAGATGCACTGCAGGAATTCACCAAAGATCCTCAGACAGCACCTTCCAAACCCACAACTGTTTTCATCCAGAAGGACAAGGGCAGCAGATATATGGGAATACCACCACCTTCAAATCCCCCTCCAAACCACTCACCATCCTGATTTAGAAATATATCGCCATTCCTTCCCTGTCGTTGGGGCAAGCCTCTGCCACTACCTCTGGCAGCTCATTCGATACCTGCACCACCCTCTTCATGAAAAAGTTGTCCCTTAGGTCCCTTTTAAATCTTTCCCTACTCACCTTAAACTTATGCCCTCTAGTTTTGGACTCCCCCCACCCCAGGAAAAGACATGGCCTATTTACCCTATCCATGCCTCTCCATGAGTTTATATACCTGTATAAGGTCACCCCTCAGCCCCTGACGCTCCAAGGAAAATAGCCCAAAAGGATATAGAAACTCTGGAGAGGGAGAGGATTTATCTGAGAATCGCCAGGCTATATGTATTAGGAATGACAATCAGATTGTGTATTTCTTTTTTTCCTTGAAGAAAGATCTCCTTGGCACCATAATAGATAAGAACAGGAATAAGTCGTTCACCCTGTTGAGCCTCCTCCGCCCTTCGTTAGGATAGTGGCAGATCTGATGTTCCTCATAACCACTTCCTTGCATTTTCTGTGTCACAGTTGATTTCTCTACTGGTCAAGAATCAATCTATCTATCTCGTCCTCAACTAGATTCAAGGATTCTGCCCCCACAATGCTGTGCACCAAGCAGCTCTAAAGGTGCTCAACCCTCTGATTAAAAAAAAAAATTTCTTCTCATGTCATGTCTTAAATTGTTGTCCCTTAATTCTGACACTGCTTTCTGGGCTGTAGACTCCATAGAAGTCTTTAAAATTATGCAGGGTTTAGCTGGGAGTTGTTTGTTATTGGTGTACTATATTTGTTTCTAAATGACAATTCAAAGATCTAAATTGAAAATATCATTTGTCAAAGTTGTGGCTAATTGTTGCAGATTAGGGCAGGGGAATTCAAAACTAGGGGGCATATTTTTCTGAGGGGCAGCCTATTCACACAGAGGGTGGCTTGTATACGGAATGAACTGGCTATTTTCCCTGGAGCCTCGGAGGCTGAGGGGTGACCTCTTTTAGAGGTTTATGAAATCACGAGGGGCATGGATAGGGCAAAAAGGCAAGGTCTTTTCCCTGGGATGGGTGTTCCAAAACTAGAGGGCATAGGTTTTTAAGGTGAGTGGGGAAAGATTTAAAAGGGACCTAAGGGAGAACTTTTTCATGAAGAGGGTGGTGCATGTATCGAATGAGCTGCCAGAGGTAGTGGTAGAGGCTGGTACAACATTTAAAAGGCATCTGAATAGAAATGGTTGGGGGAGGGGTTTGGAGGGATTTGGCCAAATGCTGGCAAATGGGACTAGATTTATTCAGGATATCTGGTTGGCTTGGACGGGTTGGACCGGAGGGTCCGTTTCCGTGCTGTAGATTTCGATGGCTCTACATGGAACTAGTTTAGTTTGAGGAAATTGGATTCTTGGCAGTGTGGAGAAACAGAGGGATCTTGGGCTCCATGTTCATAGATCGCTCAAAGTTGCTACTCAAGTTGATAGGGTTGTAAAGAAGGCGTATGGTGTATTGGCTTTCATTAGCAGGGGAATTGAGTTTAAGAGCTGCGAAGCTATGCTGCAGCTCTATAAAACCCTGGTTAGACCACACTTTTGTGTTCAGTTCTGGTCACCCCATTATAGGAAGGATGTGGAAGCTTTACAGAGGGTGCAGAGGAGATTTACCAGGCTGCTGCCTGCACTGGAGGGCAGGTCTTGTGAGGAAAGGTTGAGGGAGCTAGGGCTTTTTTCATTGGAGCAAAGAAGGATGAGAGGTGACTTGATAGAGGTATACAGATGATGAGGCACAGATAGAGCGGATAGCCAGGGACTTTTTCCCAGGGCGGAAATGACTATTATGAGGGGGCATAATTTTAAAGTGCTTTGAGGAAGGTATGGGGAGATGTCAGAGGTAGGTTCTTTACGCAGTGTGTGGTGGGGGTGTGGAATGCGCTGCCAGCAGTGGTAGTGGAGTCAGATACTTTAGAGACTTTTAAGCAACCCTTGGATAGGCACATGGATCGTAGTAAGATGTAGGATATGCAGGGTAATCTGATCTTAGAGTAGGAGAATAGGTCGGCACAACATTATGGGCCAAAGGGCCTGTACTGTGCTGTACTGTTCTATGAAACTTGGGTGGCATCACCAAGTTGGACCAAAGGCTCTGTTTCTGTGTCATGTGACTCCAAAACTCTATTACGCTCAGATGTGGTATGATACATTGAGAATTTGTTGGTAGAAATGCTTTAAGACATTCTGTCAAGACGGGCAATATGTAATATGTTCTCAGTAGGAATACTGAAGGTAAAAGTTTCAAAGCAGGAATGATGCCTTAGACAGATAGCTAGTGCCAAAAACCCAGAGTCCCAGTAGTAGAAGAACAAACAACTCATAATAGCATTATTCAAAAGAGTGTTCTTAAAATTCTACACGACTTGAACATGACTGCATTTATTAAGTTTTGATTCCTCTCCATAAAGAGGCGACTTTATGGATAGTGAATGAGTGGGTGACTAACGGTTAGTCCAGTGGTTGAATAGTTTAAAAAAGGAATCAGAGAAGATCTATGCAAGGATTTACTTCATATTGTTTATTAATATGGTATAAATGATGAAATTTTTCACTAGAAAGAAAGCAAATAATTATACAGCCAGGCTATTTTGTCTGGTGGTCTTTTCTTCCTTGAAATCAGTGGAATGTGAAAATTGATATTATTTGTGTTGTATTCTAGAATGGCTTCAAATGTCACTGCATGTCAGAATCTCATCAACGGCAGCTTCTGCTGGCGTCAGAGAACCCACAGCAGTTCATGGACTACTTTTCAGAGTATGTACAGTGTGACACCTTTAAGAATTACTGCCAAATATGCCCAGTAGTGAAACTTATACATTCTGGATGATGCATAATGCTTTGACTTAAAAAACAAGCTTCTTGAAACTTACCCCCCCTCTAGCTGTTTCCAATTTGGTTGTTCCTCAATTTGAACAGTTTTGTTTTCTCCTGCTCTATTACAATTCTGTACAAGAGTGTATTTGATAGACATTTGATAGATGAGGGAGTTAATGGTTATGGGGGAGAGATAGGAAAGTGGATTTGAAGCTACACCCAGATCAAATCTTGTCAAATAGCAGAGCAGGCTTGAACGGCGTACCACAGTTCTAATTTTTATGTTCGTATGTATCCCTCCTACCATTACCATGACTGTCATTTTGAAAACTGTTCACTGAATATAATGAAACAATAATGTTTGTTTATATTTAGAATTCTTCCTATTATAGAATACTGCAGCATGCAATGAGCGCCTTCAAGCCAATCAAATTTGTCCTAGTATTTGCTTCAACATGAGGTTTCTTGTTTGATCACACACTTCTGCATGAAGGCCTGAAGTGAATGAGTAACCCAGGAAACAGATTTGTACTCAATTAAATGATTTTACCTCATGCCTGCTTTTAGAGTTCTGTGACCCTTCACATCGCTGTTTAATTAAAAAGTTTAAAACGCTAGAAAATTAGATAATTCAAGGGACCAACATTTCCTCTAAGCTGCATGCGCTCTGACGTTCTATAAATGACAATTGGCATGCCAACACAGATCACTGCATTGACTTTTGAAGTCACTGTTGCGCATTGACCTCGGAGGTCCATGCAGAAGGAAAAAATAAGAGGGAATGCTGTATGGGACTATTTGAAATTTCGTGTTTAATGTTCCAAAACCTAGCCTTTGCACTGGTCTAATTTATACAGTCACTGGTGCTAAGCTGATCAATCACCACAAAACTGCTACCACGAAGTGCTCCCAGAATCTAGGCAAAATACCAAACTAATTTGTGCTGTGGCTATATGACACATCATGTGTTTGTTCAATTCACAAATTACTTCAAGACAGGTGCAAATTGTTATCTGTAACTTTCTTATTAGAAATTGAGAGCCTGGAATTAAAATACTTGGCAAAGATGCAGTGGGAGATGAGAATTTTTGTTTCACTCGGATTTATGTTTCAGAATGAGTTGTCTGAAAGGCTGATGGAAGCTGATTTAATCATAACTTTCAAAAAGTAATTCGATCTCTGCTTTAAGAGAAAACATTTACTGGGCTAAGGAATTAGAACAGGGAAGAAAAATTTGTAGCCCTTTCTAACAGCTAGCATAGGTACAATGGACAAAATGGCCCCTTTTGTGCTATGATTCTGTTCTATAACACTGCAGTGTTGGCATTTTCAATGAATGGTAAATGTTGCTGTATCCTGGTAAAGTATTGAACGCAATTCTTTCTTTTCCTCCAGGGAGTTTCGCAATGAATTTCTTGAACTACTTAGAAGACGCTTTGGTAAATTTCTGATTTCTTTATTGCCGTTAAAAACCTCTTTAAATTGAATTTAGCTCACAGAAGGGTTCAAGTTTTAAAGAACCACTGATAAATCTAATCAGTATTTCTTGCTGATTTGCTTTTCTAATATAAAAAGGTTATAATGATGTATCATTTGTCTCCAGAAATGAAGCTGGCATTCTGACCTTTCTCAGTATGCCTGCTCATTAATGTTACATGGCAATATATCAGCTCTCTACTGAAAGGTGACAGAAACTTTTTTTCCTATTTCCTTTTACAAACAATGCAAGCTGTAGAAATGTGAAATGAGTACTCTGCTGTTTCAGTTAACCATTTATGTATATAACTTGAATGTTTACATTCAGTGTTCCCAAGGTAGCTGCTAATATGTAGTTCAGAGATTATATAGATAATCTGCACACAGTACTGTCATGGAGCAGATAATAAGCAATGCCCAATAATGACATGGAGTGACTTCTTTTTGGCTTCGTTTTTTTTTTATTGTTCACACCAATACCTTCTGTATTGAAGAATATTTCCTCTTTGGCGTTCATCTCTACTAACTTATATCTGTTTGGACCCTTTCCACATAGGGAATTACAGAAATAGGTAGAGAACAAGCTGCCACTAGTTTGCTGCCTATGTCAGTGCCAGTATGCCACTCATTTGTTTGCTTTAATTTTTCATCCTGGTATTGATCCAATATTAGCATAAATGTTGTAACAACAATATTCCTTTCTTCTAGTAGTAAGCTAAATGAGCTTTCTCTTTCTAGGAACCAAACGTGTTCACAACAATGTTGTCTACAATGAATACATCAGTCACAGGGAGCATGTTCATATGAATGCAACAATGTGGGAGACACTGACTGACTTCACCAAATGGCTAGGCAGAGAAGGTGAGTAATATCTCTATGGTTGTCATTCTTGAGCTAATCTTACCCAAACTTTATGTCCTCATTAAAAAAATGTTTCCTGCATTGTTGTACAATCTGTGGTGTATGGATCAAGTTTAAACAAATGCAGGCAACACCGAATGCTGCATTAGAACCCATAATACTCCAGCTGAAATTTATTTGAGAATCGTAGTTTGAGACTATTGAGCTGTGATGAAGTCGGTCCCATCAGTCTTGCACTAAACTGTGATCAGATGGCCTGTTTGAGATCCGTGTCCTTTAAGTTACTGTACAGTCAGATTTAATTATCAAATGTGAGTATACACAAATTACAACGCAAAAAACCTTTTGAGATTAAGTGTTTTGCATCCCAATTTCAGGTTACTGCAAAGTGGATGAAACACCAAAGGGCTGGTACATTCAATACATTGACCGTGATCCAGAAACTATTTGTAGACAACAGGAACTAGAGAAAAAGAAGAAGCAGGAACTGGATGATGAGGAAAGAAATGCCAAGTTTATTGAAGAGCTAGTTAGGAGAGGAAAAGAAGGAAAAGAGGAGGTAAAATATTGATTTGTGCTGTGGAATCATTATGTATCAATTTGTAGTATGCCTCCAAGTTACCCGTTCCAAAGCATCCAGTTGATTGTTTATTATAGTTTCTTCCGTCCCTGAATGGCCAGCTCACAAGTGTTGGAAAGTTCCATCTTCATGTTTCCTCCAATTCAACTTGCTTCCCTCATTAATGTTATGCACAGACACAGAGTAAACTATTTAATAAATTCAGACAGCAGCTGTGGCTCCTGTAGCATGGATGTTGACTCCATAGTTATTGTTGTGTTGCATGATCTTTGCTCAGTATCAACTTAACATTTCCAAATCTAAGGTCATCTGCTTCAGTTACATGTGTTAATCCTGTTCGTGTTTCCATGCTCCCCTGCAATCCATCTCCCATCTCATTAGGACATAATGGCCGGTGATCTTAGAGTTCTGCCTAACCATGAGCTTAGCTGGCAGGCTTTTATTCACCCATCACTGAGAGTTTTATTTTCATCTTGGCAGTATGGTCTACCTCTGCCTTTATTCACCCTGTCCACACTGAAACCTTTATCTCTGCATTTGTCCATTCTAGGCTTGTTTCTTCAAAACCAACTTGCCCCACAAACTGTTTGCCAGCATCTTGAGCTCCACGCTCCATAAGTCACAACTTGTTTAAAATTTGACCATCCACACTTTATTCCACAACAACTCTATTCTCTGTGATTCTCATTGCATTGTGTGGTGACAAGAAGCCAATGAATTCAAACTGCAAGCTTTCTGTTACAAAGCCCTCTTTATCCCATTCTGTTACTGAAATCTCCACCAGCTAATGCGGTGTAGCCTTTCAATTGGCTCTAGTCTTCTCTACTATACTTTTTCTTCCCATTCCTTCTGCAGCGTTAGTGGCAGAGCCTTCTGATTTAATTTAATCTAACTTTTTTCTCCTGAAAACAAGTGGTGAAAAAAAGTTGTAGCTTTTGAAAACCACTATGGAACTTTCTTTCTGCAGAAATGTTGTCACTTAAATCCATTTATGTTATTTGTCATATTAGTAACTAATGATTGTAATGGAAACATTCACTTTACTGCACCATCAGAAAAAAAATACACTCCATCCTACGTAGGCAAAGACACTGGATTATCTGAGGCAGTCTGTATTTTGAGAAACTAATCAGCACTAAAAGAGCTTTTGATATTTTTGGCAACTGACAGTAACCATAGCTCACAATTTACCCTGCTCCAATTTTCTCTCTCCTTTCCACACTTAATTTTCTTTTCCCTGAAGAGTATGACTTACCAGTGAGCTGAATGTTCTTCATCTGTATTAATCTTGTAACTGCCTCTTTTTAATCAGATAAGCAAACAAGCTGTTCACTCAATCAGTTACATTATTTAATGTAACACCAAAGTGATCAATGTATGTTGTGGGAAAAGATTTTCCTGCAATGTAAGATATGTGTTTTTTTAGTTCAAGAATCCTTACTTTGCATTAAAAGGGTGAAACCTCCACAGTGTGATTGCAATCACAATCAGTTACACATGGGTGCAGATTTGTAGCTAAAACATCCCTGTAGTTTGCAATTGCCTCTTGAGTTGACTGTTCCACTGCTCTCCTATTATCTTGCACTCTCCAAAGGGCTTAGGTTTATCCATAACTCTGCTGTCTGTAACTTACTTGCGCCAAATCCCGTTCAGTTGTCACCCCTTTGCTCACTGATCTAAATTGGTTCCCCAGCCACTGAGTTTGAAAATTTGCATCCTTATTTCAAACCACCGAACAGCGTCACCTTTTTTCTGCCAAACTCCTCTAGCCCTCTAGTTGACTGTGCTCTGTCAATTCTGGCCTCTTGTCCAATTTTAACCATTTGCCAATGGGAGGTGCACTTGTACCTAGCCCGAGGCCCTAACTCTTTACCACCCCCGCCCCAACCCTCCCCCAACCCTACCCCACCCCAACCCCCTTTAAGACCTTGCTGAAAATTTACTTCTTGTCAAAATTTTGGTCATCTGTTTTAACACTTCCTTTATGTGACAAATTGTTCTTGATAATGCCACTGTGAAGCACCTCAGAACCTTTAACTTTGTGAAAGGTGCTGTATAATTGATAGTTCTTGTAAGAAACGTGCTTACATATTTATTTTTCTAGGACATTCCAGTTTTTACAGAATTGAAACGAGAAAATGAGGAAGAAAAAGGTATGTTTGAATTGTATGAGAAATGTTTTTGTCCTTATAACTTGGCAAGAACATTGCACTGCATTTTTTGTATTGCATATCAATTAATTTTTTCTCAGTCCCCATCAAAAATCTTATTTTTCCTGAAAAAACAGGAAGTGTTCTGAAAATACTGTATTCCATCAGTGTCCAAATGTATATGCAGTTCTTGAAATTTGTGCTAGGAAATTTAGCCTTGGTTCCTACTCTGTTCATGTATTGACTCCCAATAGTTGTACTCCAAATGTCACCCTCTCTGATATTTGCTAACTAACTACAAGAATCACATTTCAGACCATTCATTTGACTGAGTTCATCTTGAATCAATTTATCTGATTTTTAGCAATTCATCACTTTTGTTCTATTTCCTTCCTTTTTTAAAAATTAAATTTCTAATCTACCTGTTTTGAAATCTTATTAAACACCTCTGGAGCAGGTGGGCTTGGACCCAGGCCTTCTGGCTCTGGGATAGGGACAATATCACCTACACCACAGAATATGCCATTTCCTCCTTTTTTATTGTACACGTGTGTATATATATCCAGAATTGTTCTTACACAAATGAACATTTTTTTTCCCACCACTAAATCACCTGTCGTCATTTCCTCTCTTGATGGACTCTTGATAGCTGTACTTAGACCACCGGTAACCCATTAACATATTTTCTCATATATCTGTGAATGAATTTCACTCCTTAAAACCTTCACCGTCCATTTGATCACCTGTCTTAGCATCTTGTATAGCTTGATGTCAGATTTTGTTCGGCACTCCAATGAAGTACCCTGGGGTGCTTTACTATGTTAAAGATGCTAGATCATTGCAAGTTTTTTTGTTTGCATGATCACTGACAGTACTTAAAAATTAGATGCTATGAATTTAATGTGCATGAGCTTAGCAATGGTATAAAACACTCGAGGCAGGTACCAAACATTCTGTGCTAAAAATGGGTTGAAACTGGAACTTTTATCTTAATAATATTTCAGTATGTATCCCATCTTATTACTTGCTGGCAGTTTTTAGAAATTTCATTTGAGCTATTCTTGAATACTTTTGGATTGAAGCTATTTTAGTTTATCAACAGATAATCTGTGAATAAATTATTTCCTCCCACACAATTTCATTGTTTCCATAATTATGTCTGTACTAACTACACCTTAGATATAACTACAGGAGCTGATTTGCCTTACTTTAGGATTTGTCTTTAGATGTCAACACCAGTTATTTTGCTTTAAATTTTCCGGTATTGTTGATGTTCTCAATACGATTTTAATGATTTTAGCATTTTTTTCTAATTTATACTTTCTTGACTGTTGTTAGAAAAATAGATTAAGCGTGGAAGCTACCCATATTTTTAAGATGCCTTTGAAGTTATAGTTTTTAAGTAGAAGGGTAGTTTCCGTAGAAAGGTTTAAATTATATAATATGTTTCTAACACTTTGAAACCATAGACAATCAATGTAAATATTTTGATTTATTTCTTTTGTTTATAGTTGCCTTTAATTTAAACAAAGGACAAAGTGCATCAGTTACAGCGGTTCCTAAATCTAGGTAAGAAGCCTGTCTTGCTGTTATCTTACAAGTTAAGAACACATTCCTTAAAAACTTAATAGAAAATGTTCTCATTTTCTTTATATAGATCCGTATTGGCTGATAACTGAGAAAGGAAATGTGTTTTGCAAAAGAAATGTTACCCTTCTTAGATTAAATTTTTGGGTCATTTTATTTCTGTTTTCTTAAAAGCATTCATTTGTAATATTTGTCCTTTCTAAATATCTTCTTTCTTTGAATAGAACAGCTGATTTTCACAATTTTTCTTCCACTGCTGTTTGTTCAGGCAGCTTGGCAGCCTCTACAACAGCACACCCAAGGCAGACAATAGCCACAGGAGATAACTATAGTTATTTAATTCAACTTTTGTGTGGCATTCTTCCTCCTTGTCTTTGCCTCTATCCTATCCCACCATGTAAGCATGATATTAATGATGTAACTATGCTCTAATGCTTACAGTCAAGAGGCATTTTAGTAGCAGAGCAGTCCAATCGTTAGAACTTTCTTTTCAATCTTTTGTAAATAATGATTGTTGCATCATCAATGCTCGACTTCCTTTTTATCTTTGATTAATTAACAATTATGTGAATGCTAGGAATCTAAGCTAAAAGTAATTCTGTAAACTCATTTAGTGTAGGGAATGTTCCACTTGTCTTAATGTTAATTGGAGATATGGAGTAGTCGTTTAGATTGTGAGTACAACTGAGAGAAAAAGGGATTAGTTCAATACCTACGATTTGTGGAATAGGAATGTAGGATTCAGAGTAGGCTATTCAGCCCTCTAGCTTGCTCCACCATTCTAGATCTTTGCTGATCATCTACCTCAGTGCCATATTCACATGCTATCCCCATATTCCTTGACGTCATTTGTAACCAGAAATCTGTCAATCTTTTGCCTTGAATTTATTTAATGACTGAGCTTCCACAACCTTCTTGGGTAGAGAATTCTAAAAATTCACGACCCTATGAACTAAATGAGCTTTTTTTTCAATTGTTGCATGTTCTTCAGGTTTAACGAAATGCATGCAGAAAATGTCAAGTATTTACTCTGATTGTAAAGAAGAATCCACTAATGTTATTCCGTGTGAGTGTGATGTGTTCTGCAGCATAACCATCAGCTTGCTTAACTTTGAGAGAGGAAGCCGGGGGGTGCTGGGGCAAGCCAATTGCCTGCAAAAGAATTTGTAAACCATATCTTGTATGCTTTTCAGCACTTTGGGACCAAGTCCGTTGCAAACAATAGCTTCAGTAAAACGAAAGGAATCAGGTCATACTTCTTCAGATACAAAGGACAAGAAGAAGAAATCTGCACTGGATGAGATTATGGAGGTATATTACTGTAGTGGATTCCTAGCCAGTAGTTCATCCTATAGTTCTCAATGTTTGTTTAATTAAGAGCAAAGATGTCTGTATCTGTTTAGCTCATTATTCCTGAATTTAAATGCTCTACCATTGCTGGCCATGTCTCAAGTTGCCTGGGTTCTAAGTACTGGACTTTCCTTCCAAAACCTCTCTGTTTTTGTCATTTAAGGAACTTTTAAAAACCTACCTCTTTGACTAAGCTGTTGATCATCAGCCTGAATGTCTCATTGACTTGGAATTGGTATGATCCCAGCTTGTGTTAATACTGCATAAAACCGATCCCAGAGTGAAACCTGATTTGTTTGTTTTTAAAGCAGGGTTTGTTTTTTTTTTTTATTAATTCGTTCATGGGATGCAGATGTTGTTGGCTCAGCCAGAATTTATAGCCCTCTCTACTTGATTTTGAGAAATTGCCCTTTAACCACTCTAGTCCATTGGTATAAGACCAATTACTGAACACGGTCACAAGGTACACAAAGAACAAAGTGTTTGTTAAGCAAGCAAATGCTTGAAGCATTTTTATTATAAATAAAAAGAAGACTGCGAAGATCTTATTACAAACACCGGGATAAAAATGCAAATTCATGTGATTCCTTTTAGCCCAGCAATACAGGTAGTTCTCCTATAACGTGATAGTTGAGTTTTTGTGTGACCTCGCGCTATAGAAAATTGTGTTATAGGGAAATCGCTATACCTGTAGAGCAGAAAGCTCGCGTTATCCAAACAGCACCCACTATTCATTAATCGCGTTACAGCCAATTTGTGTTAACAAAACATGCTTTATAGCAGAACTACCTGTATCCTAAACCTCAGCAAAGAATCACCACTTTCTCCATGCAGAGGCTTCTCATGCAGGCTGACATGGCTGTAACCAGTTTCGTTCTGGTAAAGCTTTGTGCTTTCACTGGATGCTTTTTTTCCTCAGCTTGTACCTCTCCTGTAGACACCTGAAAAAAACTGCATCCTTATCTCATTACTTTAACTTTAGAGCAAACACGAGTTTCTAAAGCAGTTTTCCTGCCAGACTTCAGAGAGCTGAGCGCTTTGGCCTCCACTACTTGACACTCGCAGACAGGCTGATTTTCTGGATCGTTCTCTCTCTTTGCTGTTGAACCCATGCTGCTTTTAAAGAAAAACTCGATTTTCTTTCCTTCACCTTTTTTGAATGCACTGAGCTATTCACCTCAAGGGCTGAAAGCCTCGATAAAATACATGTAAGCAAAGCTATCCTCTAGACTCCCTCGCACAAGGCTTCCCAAGTTTATGGATGAATCTGTTAAAATTGACTATCCTCCTTAATACGCAATGCAAAAACTTGAATTCAACTTAAGTTATACATTTTCTTATTAGTGTCAAATTTTTGTTTGGTAATATTTACAAAGTGGCTTGGGTTTGAAAGGGTTTGTCAAAGGTGGTGTAATGGCAGAGATCAGCTCCATTTGATTATCTAACAGGACAGAGGTTGGAACTTCATTGCAATCTTAAAACAAAGATGTCAATGTACCCACTATTTCCCAGACCTAGGTCAGTAAACAACAGTTGAATGTGGAAGAAATTAAAGGCGCAGAAGAAAGCTCAATTCATTAATGTTTTGTGAATATTTCTGTGCTTTTTCTTTTGCTTTGCTTCCTTTTGCCTGGAAGGTTCCGTATAATGGCTTCTAGCATTAGAGAGTCTGGCACAGTCCCTCAGTGATTTGGCAATAGCATTTCCAGTAGTATAATGATGAGGAGGAGAAACCAGAGAATATTAGGCTTTAGAGCAGAGAAAGCTAAGAGAGGGATCTGATTGAAGTGTATAAAATTATGAAGAGCGTGGACAGAAAGCAGCTGTTCGCCTTAGTTGAAGGGCCAGTAACAAGATGGGAAAATATTAATATGAAAAGTTGGAGGTTTAGAGGGGATTTGACCCCTTTTTTCACTTAGAGGGGTGGGGTCTGGAATGCTCTACCCAGGAGGGTAGTTGAGGCAGAAAATCTCAACCTTTAAAAAGTGCATAGGTGAGCACTTGAAATGTCCTAAAATTCAAGGCTATAGGACTAGTGCACATTTTAGAGTTGTTTTGTTGATGTGGACTTGATGAGCTGAAGGGCCTCTTCTGTACTATATGATTCATGGTGAGGTTGAATCTCAAGTATTTGGTAATGTGCTACTCTGTTCCCAGCAGTTGTAGAAAACCTCTACATTTTGTTTCTGTTCACTTCATTTATAACTTCATTCTCCTGCTTTTGCCAAAGGCTGTTAACAACATGGAAAATCTTTTGAATTTTTCTAAAGCTAGGAAGAATTTTTTGTTTTTTACAGCTACTTATTTTGAAGTGACCATGTCCCTGTTTTTAGTTAAACTGGAAATTTTTCTAGTTCTATGCTCTCAGCTGAATAACTTTCATGAGCTTTCTGCGTAAGGACTACGCAGGAAGCTGCAAATGAATATGGGGGTCCATTTCATGTGAGCTACCCTCGCTTGTTAAAAATTAATCTACACTTTTACAGAACGTTTCAATGTATTAAAATAAAATGTCTTAGCAATTTGCTACTTTATTCACTTAGTAGATGGGTTTTAGATGTAGAGTGGACTTTTAATTTAGGATCATCATTTTGAAAGTAGAGTCATAATTTTGAAATCTTTCTTATTTAGTTCGAAGAGCAGAAAAAGAGAAGCCTTAGAAGAGACTACTGGCTTCACAACGTAAGTTCAGAAAGTAATTCTTGTGCTTTCATATAATACATTGTGCAGTTACTGATTTGTCTGACCTCCATGATATCTCTGAACAATTTTTTTTCAATCTTGTGTGATATTGTAGATGTGGTAGCTTGTAGAAGACCTCGTCTGCAGCCCACTTCTCTTTTGTCCAAGACAAGTAATTTGCACTGAAAGAGAAAATTTGCTGAATGCTATCCTCCAAACATCTGTGAAAATCTAACAGTATCATACAGTGAAAATAGATTTCAACTTAGTGAGTCAAGATAAAACAGCGTCCTTAATGTTTGTTAGACTTATTCGGTTTTGCTATCAGGGTCTCCATTCATGGACTGCTTTCCTGTGGAATCTTCCCTAAACTGGAACTCAATTATCTATCTTTATTTGATAGATTGAAATATTCAGATGACGGACCCAAACGTGCAATGAAATGTGGCCAGTTAAAGTTTTTACAGAATTTTTAGCTCTAGAGACAGTTTTCTCTATTGTCGTATAGTGCATTAGCTTTTAGTTATTAACTGTGAGTGAAATTTGATCATTCTATTAGAAATCACAGTGAGGAGAGCGTGGCCCATAACTCATGGTTGTAATGCTGAGAATAGCCCTGAAGCAGCTTGTTGTATGTGATTGTGGATTTCCACTCAAATACTATTTAATGTTAACTAAAAACAAAGTGCAGGAAATACTCTGTAGGTCAGGGAGTATCAGTGGGGAAAGAGAGAGAGACTTAACCCAAGTGATTTTTTTTTATGACAACTAAAGTAAGAGAAATTGAGTTTTAAAGCTAACCAAAAGGATAGTCTATGATAACGAAGAGGGCAGGTGAGATTAAATAATAAAATGTTTCATGATGCAACACAGAGCAATAATGAGCCTTACTTCGGTTGTGGGTAAAGTGTTGGAAAGGATTATAAGAGATAGGATTTATAATCATCTAGAAAGGAATAATTTGATTAGGGATAGTCAACACGGTTTTGTGAAGGGTAGGTCGTGCCTCACAAACCTTATTGAGTTCTTCGAGAAGATGACCAAACAGGTGGTTGAGGGTAAAGCGGTTGATGTGGTGTATATGGATTTCAGTAAAGCATTTGATAAGGTTCCCCATGGTAGGCTATTGCAGAAAATACGGAGGCATGGGATTGAGGGTGATTTAGCAGTTTGGATCAGAAATTGGCTAGCTGTAAGAAGACAGAGGGTGGTGGTTGATGGGAAATGTTCATCCTGGAGTTCAGTTACTAGTGGTGTACCTCGAGGATCTGTTTTGGGGCCACTGCTGTTTGTCATTTTTATAAATGACCTGGATGAGGGCGTAGAAGGATGGGTTAGTAAATTTGCAGATGACACCAAAGTCGGTGGAGTTGTGGATAGTGTGGAAGGATGTTGCAGGTTACAGAGGGACATAGATAAGCTGCAGAGCTGGGCTGAGAGGTGGCAAATGGAGTTTAATGCGGAAAAGTGTGAGGTGATTCACTTTGGAAGGAGTAACAGGAATACAGAGTACTGGGCTAATGGTAAGATTCTTGGTAGTGTGGATGAGCAGAGAGATCTCTGTGTCCGTGTGCATAGATCCCTGAAAGTTGCCACCCAGGTTGATAGGGTTGTTAAGAAGGTGTACGGTGTGTTAGGTTTTATTGGTAGAGGGATTGAGTTTTGGAGCCATGAGGTCATGTTGCAGCTGTACAAAACTCTGGTGCGGCCGCATTTGGAGTATTGCGTACAGTTCTGGTCACCGCATTATAGGAAGGATGTGGAAGCATTGGAAAGGGTGCAGAGGAGATTTACCAGGATGTTGCCTGGTATGGAGGGAAGGTCTTATGAGGAAAGGCTGAGGGACTTGAGGCTGTTTTCGTTAGAGAGAAGAAGGTTAAGAGGTGACTTAGTAGAGACATACAAGATGATCAGAGGATTAGATAGGGTGGACAGTGGGAGCCTTTTTCCTCGGATGGCGGTGGCTAGCACGAGGGGACATAGCTTTAAATTGAGGGGTGATAGATATAGGACAGATGTCAGAGGTAGGTTCTTTACTCGGAGAGTAGTAAGGGCATGGAATGCCCTGCCTGCAAAAGTAGTAGACTCGCCAACTTTAAAGGCATTTAAATGGTCATTGGATAAACATATGGATGATAATGGAATAGTTTAGGTTAGATGGGCTTCAGATTGGTTTCACAGGTTGGCGCAACATCGAGGGCTGAAGGGCCTGCACTGCGCTGTAATGTTCTATGTTCTGTGGTTACAATACAGAAACAGAGCTTGTCTAGATGAGTGAATTGTTAGAATACAAATATCTGAATGCAACGTAAAGGGACAGAAATAGGACAAGACCATTTTTAACTATTCTTTTCAATCTCAATGTGAAAAATGTTTTCTCAATTAAACTTCTGTAATCTTGTCATTTGTTAAAAATGTTTGGGAGGAAATAGAAAATGCTGGAAATATTCAGGTTTGAGGAGACAAAAACAGTAACATTTTAGTCAATAATCTTGCATCAGAACTGCTGTTTCCTCCGATCTGACCTGCTGTGTATTTCCAGCATCTTCTGTTTGTTTTTAGATTTTCAGTATCTGAAGTGTTTTGCTTGTATGAAAATGAGGGCAGCTCAATATTGTACTACTTGCCTAAGTATGGATGAAGCGTATGGAAAAATAATACCCCAAGCTCTCGGTGCACAATCTGTGCATGTGGTAAAATGACCACGTTGCAGGAACTCTTAATAATTTGATTTTTTTTCTCTATCTGACTAGGGAATAGTTGTTAAATTAATAACCAAGAAACTTGGTGAAAAATATTATAAGAAAAAAGCAGTGATAAAGGTAAGAAAGTATATATTTTTGGAACACCTACATATGGTTAATCTATAAATTGTGATATTTATTTTGTAGAATCCCAGTTAATTGCTGCTCACATTCTGCCAGATGTATAAGGAAAACTGGCAAATAATTTAGCTTCCCAGTGCATTGCTTACAGCTTTAATGCTCTTTGATCAATTTGGTTCACCTAATTAAGTTATTGTAGTGGATAAGACCCTTTTTTTAAATTTCTTTGAAAAATAAATGATCCTGTTGACCATCTAATCTGAAGCTAAATTTTTGAGCTGCAGCAGTAAATCTTACTGGAAATTGAATCTCCAGGTAATAGCTAGCTTTCCTGCTGGATCAATTAGTTAACATCTGAACAATCAATTGAAAGTGCTGAATTGCATTTTAGCTTGTTCAAGCAATGCCAGGCACTTACTACACCACCTCCTCCACGCCCCACCCCACCCAAAAGAAGGTAATAAAATGATGCTTGGACTTATTAAGGCTTGAAATGATTTTTTTGCTGTGTTATTTACAAGAATTTGGATGTGCTAGTGTTCTACTGCCGCTTAAGTCAGAATATTGTGGGTTCAAGCCCCATTCCAAGAAATTGAGCACATAGCTTACTCTATAACTAAGATGAAATGCAGAGGGAGTGTAGCGCTATCTGTCATGCTGTTTATCAAATGGGCCATTAAACAGGAGCCTGGTCTGCTTCCTGAAGATTGAATGTAAAAGATAAGCTGGAGATGAGCAGAAAGTTCTCATGAAGTCCTTGCCAATGTTTATATTTTGACTGACATTGAAAGCCACGGTTCTGATCATTTAGTTTTCTGCTATTTGTGAGAGACACTAGATAAACACAAATCTTTCACTGTACTCAGCTACCTGAAAAAATTGCACTAATGGAGTACAATTCCACTCTCATTACAGGAAGTGCAAGAAAAGTACACTGCCATTATTAAAATGATTGATTCTGGAGACAAACTGAGAGTTGACCAGACTCATTTGGAGACTGTCATTCCAGCTCCTGGTAAATCTCTCATTTCTTTATTAATTAATATATTTAAACTGAAGGTTCATTAGTAGTTATAGAAATCTGGTTATTAATTGTGTTGGTTGAAATGTAATTATTGAATTCCCCCCTATTTAAGGTAAGAAGCTGTTGGTGGTGAATGGTGGTTACCGAGGACATGAAGCTGTTCTAGATTCTATAAATGAGAAAAACTTCAGTGCTACAATAATCATAGAATCCGTGAGTACACACTTTCCTGCCTTGAGAAAGGCCATTGCATGTTTGTCACTTACCCCTTCAATAAATTAAATTTACCTACTAACTTGCTTACAGATATAATAGATTAATGGCCGTTAAAATGTGTGAAGAACTGGATTCTTGGCTACGCTAGGATAATAACTGGTGTAGGAGCAGTGAAAGTAATTTTAAAAGTTGTACTGATTTTGGAATCCAACGTCACTAGGTTGCTTCCGTGTAATTTTGCACATAACGTCATGTGTTGTATTTTAAATGGTCTTAAATATCTCAATGGTTCTTGCAGCACATGGAATTTTCTTCTATATTTGCCAGCCCACAATTTTCTGCAGATTGTATTGAATATGGGCATCTCTGTGGTTAGCGCTGCTGCCAGGGACCTGGGTTCGATACCAGCCTTGGGTGACTGTGTGAAGTTTGCACATTCTCCCATGTCTGTGTGGGTTTCCACCAGGTGCTTAGGTTTCCTCCTGCAGTTCAAAGATATGCAGCTCAGGTGGATTGGCCATGGTAGATTGCCCCATAGTGTCCAGGGATATGCAGGCTAGTTGGGTTAGCCATGGGAAATGCAAGGTTACAGGGATAGGGTGGGAAACTGTTTAGAGGGCCAGTGTAGACTTGATGGGCCAAATGGCCTCTTCACTGTAGGGATGCTATGATCCTGTGAATAAATGTAAAATCTTGGGCTGAGAAGTGGAAAGCCCCTGCCTGTTTGTTGGGTTGGAGGGGTTTTACTAGATTAGATTTGAATTTTTCTATGCTTCATTGAATCACAACTGCCAAACTGTTCCACATCTCTGAGATCAGAGATGAATCATAACCTATATGTCACCACATACTGAATGTCTGTGTGTGCATACACGTACATGCATTCGGAAGACAGTGGCGATGAGTTGTTTTAGCTGACACACGTGAGGTTCGACCACACAAAAACACGATTAGAATGGGTTAATTGTTGCAAAACACTCTGCTAAAGCCGCTAATTATATTTTGCTTGTGTTGAAATGGTTGGAGCAAGTAAAAACAGGATAATGGAAACATATTACACCAAAGCAAAACAAATAGCCACATCCACGTTCTTGTATTATTTGCATTAGTACTGGGGATATTACTTCTATGTTTGGAGATTAATCATTGTTTCTTTATAGGGACCTCTGCAAGGGCGGAAGGTTGAAGGTGTACAGTATGAAGATATTTCAAAATTGGCATAAGCAGTCTTAATTATAGACTTAGTACTTTAATAGTTCAAAGCATCATGTTGGTGTCCACTGATTCTTTTTTAAATTGCAAACTCTACTGTGTCAGGGTTTTTCATTTCTAACTTTAAACGTTTTGAATGTTTCTGCTACCCCAGCTCCTTCAAGAATGTAATTCATGCTGTTGTATTTTCATTTTTGCAATGGAAGGATATATGTATAATAATTCTTTGTTTAATATAATTACTGGAAGTAAACCTGTTTAAATGTTTTCTGTTGCAGTTCGAAGATTTGGGTGTTATAGTCATTGTTAAATGATATATTTGAACAAAAAACAAATAAAGCTTTATTTTAATTTCTTAAACATTTGTAGTTATTTTGTAGTTATTACATCCAACCTAGAAATATATCACGTTTAATTTTCTTTTTAATTGTATGTTCTGATCTCAAACCTGATTTTTATCATGACTTATGATGTAGTACTACTGTACTTTTAGCTTCAGTTAGTATTTGTTGGTTTTTGTTAACTTCACCCTCCAAGTAAGCAATTGTTCCCAGCAGCAACATCCAGCTGTCAATTGGAAACAGTGCTTTGAGTGTGCATTAACAAACATCGAGAAAGAATTTCCAAGTAAATATTTATCCATAGGACCTTTTGTTTGAGGCTGATATGTGCATACATTGACCAAACCACAAGTTGTGGACCTTGCATCTACTTTTCTCTTTTATGGGATGTCAAAAATAAAATGTGTTGGACAGACTTCCTCAGAGAATTAAACAGAAACAAAAAATTCTGGAGAAACTCAGCACATCTCATAGCATCTATGGAGAGAGAAACCAAGTTAACATTTAGAGTTTGATACTGTATTTCTGTTTTTATTTCAAATTTCCAGCATTGGCAATATTTTGCTTTAATTCCTTACAGAATGAATTATGATTTGGTTATTTTTCAACTTTTTGATATAGCTAATCACTCATCTCATAGGAGTGGTTTGAACAACTTCCTATGTTCTAAAGCTCTGCTAGGATTGGTAGGGCAGATGTACAACCATACTGCAATGATTCTAGCAGATTCAGTTTCTCAAAATATATAATGGAATGACTTTTCCAATTTATAATCAGAATTGGTTATATGCCCCAGTAGGGGTCTCCTGAAAAGGAATGGGAGTATACAGTATGTCAAATTGTAACCTTGAGTCATGAGAAACTGATGTATTACATGCTTGCATTAACCATTTATATGGTACACCCGTGTTTAAAGTTTTGGCATTCTCAGACATGCATTTAAAAAGAAATTGCAGTATTGATGAAATTTGCAAAACATCGTATTTATTATGCACTACAATTCTGCATTCACTGTTATGAACTTGATCAGTTCCCAGTAATGTTTTATATACAATAATCAAAATAGAAAAGCGGAACAACCAGAGATTGTCATGTTTGCTCTTTCAGGTCAGCTGGAGGTAACAAGTGTCCTGTGTCCCAATTCTTTACCATTTACCAGTGATGAATAAGCCATCCAGAGATCATTAAATTGTTGCGGATTTTATAGCTGATACTTTTAATAATATACATGGAACAACTTGTTCAAAGCACTTTGTTTTAAAAGCCAGGTGAGCTGGATCTCCTTAAATGGGGAAGTAACAGCTAAGCAACTGTATTTGCTTTGAAACTCTTACTCCATTTATTGCAGTCAAAAGCAGCCTTTATATATTTTCTGTTTATAATTTTGAAATTTGGTTAACTGGGAATGATATTAATCCATTACAATCCACAATGTTTCATTCACATTGCTAAGCAAAATTCAGCAAATTAAAAAAAATTGAGTACGAGTACAGCAGACCCTCTGTAATTGGTATCCAGATGCCATCTAATCTGCATCATAAGTGAATGTTGAAATACATTAAGAGTCAAAAGTATATGCGCGGGTTATGAAACACTATTACAGTGAAAGATTATGGTAGAAGACACTTTAGTCAAAGCAATATTCTTGTGACTATTGAATGAAAAGTTTGCTTTAAAAGTGATTTTTATTACTAGTTTTCAATTATTTTTCTATGCTGCAGATACTGTCTACCTTCTATCTTTCTAGCCTTTGCAGTTTCAGAAAGCTTGCGGATGATTCAGGAAGCTGTAAAGGTGTGGAACAAGATAATCTTTGAAATGTCCATCGATAAAACCTTTTCCGCTATTGTGGATGAACCAGCACTGGACATCTGTGCCATTTACTGTATCTGTCCTATAGTCTTTCTGTAAACCCCTGTAGGACAATGGAGAATGTGGTTACATTCAATCATGCCACTTATCTTCCCACTCCACATCATCATGTAGGAAATCAAATTCACTTGTACAATTTTGTAATCCAATTCAGTATCACTCATATAATCCAGTCACCTGTGTGCAAAACAGATCTTTAGATTTTAAATATGATTGCTGTCTTTCATCAACACTGAAGTTAAAAATCATATGACATCAGGTTATAGTCCAACAAGTCTATTTGAAATCATAAGCTTTTGGGGCACAGCCCCTTCGTCAGGTGCAGTGAGAAAAGAGCACACAAAGACAGCAGAGAGATCAAAGGATCATACAACTGGTGTGAGTGGACTGAACCAACCTAAAATAGCTGGCTGACTGCCTCCTGTTGAATCTTTAATCATCCATACATTCCTGTGTTCTAGAAATTACAGAGGCAGGATATGGAGAGCTCTGTTAGTTTTGATTGATTAAGATGCAAATTCCAGAATCTATTTCAAGTCATTGTCCTGAGATAATTAAAGGTTTCATCAGTGTCTGCCTAACTTTCCAAATTTCAAACAGGCAGTTTGAATATGCACATCCCATGTCTACATCAGGGGCAAATGAAAGAAAAATCTGTGAATCTAAGTAATTGCTTAGAAGTGACTGCTTAACACAACTTGTGAAGCACATAGAGAAATATATTTTGAACACAGGTGAACCTAACAAATCCAATTTTAAAAACTTGCTGAATTCAGCTGGTTTCACCTATTTCACTAATCCCCAACTGGCTGTTTCAGGCGAATGTATAGTTTGTAGCAAGTGGAGCTTAATCAGCTGTAGAAAATTAATCCTGTTTAAAGTACAGCAGAATGGCACTTAGTGGGAATACTTCAATTCCCATCTGTCACTTTGGTTGCCAAGTTAAATCCATGTATAATTAAAAAAATCATCTATCTTTATTGTAACAGTATAAGTGCACATAATGGAATTTAACTAGTCAGGTGTTTTTTTTGCAAATAACTGTAATCAAAATTTTACTGGTTTATTAACACTTGTTAATAAATTTGCATTTTGTTCTAGTGATACTGTAACCGTACAAATTATTAATAAATTGCACTTTTTTTCCTTTCTTTTCATGAGATGAAATGGCAAGGCCAAAATTTATTATCCACTCCTAATTCCCTTGAACTAAGTGGTTTGGTAGGCCAGACCACAGGGAGTTAAGAGTCAGCTACATTGCTGTGTAGGTCTGGACAACAGATTTCTTTCCCAAAAGGGCAATAGTGAACCACCTCGGTTTTTGTGATGTTGATTCATGGTCACTATTATTGAAACTAGCTTTCAATTTCAGGTATGTTATTTGAACTTAAATTCCACAAGCTGAAATGGTGAGATTTGAACCTAGGTTCCCTAGAGCATTAGCCTGGACCTCTGGAATACATCGTCCAATGACATTGCCACAGCTTCCCCCATCTCTTTTATAGGTTTATGATACTAAAATAATATAAACACAACAGTATATATGCTGAATCCATTTGATAAGTGCCACTTGGGTGCAACTCTTAGATCCACTATGACGGCGGCAGAGTTGGACGCTCCTGCTGGAGCTCCTCTGCTCTGCCTGTTCTTTTTCTTCCTTTTTCCTTCTTTTTTTCCTGTCCTGCCTTAACCCCGGCTGTGAATCCTGGAGCAGCAGCAGGCATAGTCCCAGAGCAGTGGGCCCAAGAACAGCGTGTGGGCTGCGAGCCTTGGTGTAGCACTTGGGCAGCAAGCTCCAGCACAGCGTGAGCAGCGGGCCCTGGAAAGGTGCGAGCAGTGATTCCTGAAACAGCGCACAAGCAGCGAGCCCTGGAGCAGCATGCAGCCAGAGACTGGCACAGGTGAAGCAGCCCCAGAACTTATCTTGGAGCAGCTGAGTGTCAGTATGGAGTGCACAGGGGGCTTGGAGAAGTGCAGGGACAGCTGTTGGACTGGGGTCTGGCAGGGATGGTGAGACCACACGCAGACGCTCAGTGCTGAGCTGCTACAATGTAATGTTTATTTGAAATTTCCTACCTTATTGTAATTGTCAACCCTTTATTGATGTCCTATTTTTAACTTATTTTTCAACTCTGTAAAGTAATGCAACTGCAACAATATCAACAAAAACAGAAGTTGCTGGAAAAGCTCCATTCTGAGGAAGGGTCACCGGACCCGAAATGTTAACTCTGATTTTTTCTTCACAGATGCTGCCAGACCTGCTGAGCTTTTCCAGCAACTTCCATTTTTGTTCCTGATTTACAGCATCTGCAGTTCTTTCAGTGTTTATTAAGTAATGTAACTACTTTCATTCTTCTATTGTATCTAGGATTTGTACTTAGATGCTTGTACCTAAGTTGTTGCCACAAGAGGCAGACATTGTAAAAGCTTTTCACTGTACACCTACAGCAGAGTGCACGTGACAATGAAAGGATATTCTATTCTATTCTATTCTGTTCTAAAGTACTAAAGACGGGTTCAACAATCTCCTGTGCCCTCCAACAAATTGATGAATGAGTTATTCTTGCAAACCTCCCAGTGATTGATTACATTACACGATATACCAAGACTTGGATACAGAATAGAACATGTTTGGAAGAATAAGAAAAGCTGAAAAAGAGGAAATACTTCCTTCATTTAAATTTTATTGCTCAGCGGACCTGATATAACTAGTTAGTTCCTTTGTTTTTCACGTACCTGGTTACTGTAATTTGGTGTCCTTTCACTTCCATGGTTGCTTGTGGTTTATCAGGATCTGAGCCCTGGCGGATATTGTACACATTCACTTCAGGTTCATGGATGAACTGACCTGCAACGAACGTAATTGCTTTAGGGTTCTTGACTATTTTATATGTTGAAAAGCAAAAAGAAATGTTTACTGTAGCTTAGATGCTGAACATAGAATATAGAACTGTACAGCACAGGAACAGGCACTTTGGTCCATGATGTTGTGCTGAACATGATGCTAAATGAAACTAATCCCTACTGCCTGCCATTGGTCCATGTTCCATCCATTCCTTGCATATTCATTTGCTTATCTAAAAGTCCCTTAAATGCTGCTATTGTGTCTGCCTCAACCACCACTCCTGGCAGTGTGTTCCAGACTCCTACCACTCTGTGTAAAATATTTGCCCCTCACGTCTCCTTTGAACGGTCCCCTTCTCACTTTAAATGCATGCCCCCTGCTATTAGACATTTCAGCTCTGGGGGAAAAAAAGATTCTGACCGTCAACCCTATCTATGCATCGCATAATTTTGTAGACTTCTTTCAAGTCTCCCCTCAGTCTCTGCGGCTCAAGAGAAAAGAACTGGAGTTTTTCTAGCCTCCCCTTATAGCCCATACCCTCTAATCCAGATAGCATCCTGGTAAACCACTTCTGCACCCTCTCCAAAGCCTCCACATCCTTCCTGCAATGTGTTGACCAGAATTGAATGCAATAATCTTAAGTGCGGCCCAACCAAAGTCTTATAAAACTGCAACCTGACATCCGGACGCCTGTACTCAATTCCCCGACCAATAAAGGCAAGCATGCATACGCCTTTGTAACCACCCTGTCTACTTGAATGGCTACTTTCAGGGACCTATGGACTTGAACCCGAAGATCCTTCTGTACATCAATGCTGTTCAGAGTCCTGCCATTAGTTGTATACTTTCTTTAACATTTGATCTCACAAAATGCAGCCCCACACATTTACCTAAATTAAACTCCATCTGCCATTTCTCCAACTAAATCTGCAATTGATCTATATCCGACTGTATCCTTTGACAATCTTCTACACTATCCACAACTCCACTGATCTTTGTATCATCTGCAAACTTACTAACCCCCCTATCTACATTTTAATATAAGTCATTTGTATATATCACAAACAGCAGAGGTCCCAGTGCAGATCCCTGCAGAACACTGCTAGTCACGGACCTCCAGCCTGAAAAACACCCTTCCACCAATATCCTCTGTCTTCTATGGACAAGCCTGTTCTGACTCCATGCGGCCAGGTCACCGTGGATCCTATGCATCTTAATCTTCTGGATGAGCCTACCAGGAGGGACCTTGTTGAAAGCCTTACTAAAATCGATGTAGACAACATCCACTGCTCTACTTGCATTGATCATCTTTGTCACCTCCTTGAAAAATTCAATTGAGTTAGTAAGACATGACACGCTCTGCACAAAGCCATACTGACTCTTCCCAATTAGGCCATGCTTTTTCAAATGTGCGTAAATCCTATCCCTAAGAATTCTCTCCAATAACTTTGCAACCACTGATGTGAGAGTCATTGATCAGTAGTTTCCTGGATGAATGTTATTTCCCTTCTTGAACAGAAGAACAACATTAGCTACTCGCTAATCATCCAGGACCTCTCCAGTGGCTAGCGAGGATACAAAGATCTTGGTCAAGGCCCCAGTAATCTCCTCTCTTGCCTCTCTCAAGCACCTGGGGTAGATTCCATCAGGCCCTGGGGACTTATCCACCTGAATGCTCTTTAAGAGATGCACTTCTTTCTTGATCTTAAAATGCCCTAACACATTAGCATGCTCCACACAAATCTCACTATCCTCCATATCCTTTTCCTGGGTGAATGCCGATGCAAAATGCTCATTTAGGATCTTACCCACATTCTCCGCCTCTAAGCACAAGTTCCTTCCTTCATCTTTGAGTAATCCTACCTTTTTCCTCGTTATCTGCTTGTTTTAATGTATCTATAGAATGCCTTGGGATTCTCTTTAACCCTACATGCCAAGGTCATTTCATGGCCCCTTCTTGCTCTCCTAATTCCTTGTTTGAGTACTTTCCTGCTTTCCTTATATTCCTCATGGGCCCTCTCCAATTTTTAGCCTCCTAAACATTACATATGTTTTTTTTTCCTTTTGACTAAATTCACAACCTCCGTTGTTATCTAAGGGTCCCTTACTTTGCCATCCTTATCCTTCCTCCCTACTGGAATATGCCAGTCTTGAATTCTCCACAGTGGGTCTTTAAACAATTCCCAGATGTCAAATGTGGACTTTTTTTATAACAGCTCCTCCCAATTGACACTCCCTAGCTCCTGGCTAATAATGATGTAATATGCCCTCCCCTAATTTAGTATCTTCCCACAAGGTCCTGACTTTCCCTGTTCATAGCTATCTTAAAACTTGAAGAGTTGTGATCACCAAAATGCTCTCCCACTGAAAGATCAGCCACCTGGCCACATTCATTAACCAATACAAGGTCTAGTATGGCCCCTCTTCTAGTTGAGCTATCCACATACTGTTTCAAGAAACCCTCTTAGATGCACTAAACAAATTCCGCCCCATCTAAGCCTCTTGGTCTAAGGGAGCCCCAGTCAATACCAGGGAAGTTAAAGTCACCCACTACGACAGCTCTGTTTTTACTGCACATTTCCATAATCTGCCTACATATTTTTTCCTCAATCCCTTGATGGCTGTTGGGAGGCCTATAGTATAGTCCAGTCAGAGTGATTGCACCCATCTTATTTTAGAGCTCTACCCATAATGCCTCAGTGAATGAGCCCTCTAGCATTTCCTCTCAGAGTGCAAATGTAATATTCTCCCTGATTAGTAATGCAACTCCTCCACCTCTTTTACCTTCCTCTCTATCTCGTCTAAAACAATGAAACCCTGGAAAATTGAGCTGCCAGTCTCATCTGTCCCTCAACCAAGTCTCTGTAATGGCCACAACATCATTGTCCCATTCAGTGATCCAGGCTCTAAGCTCATCTGCCTTACCTTTAATACTCCTTGCATTGAAATAAACATACTTCAGCCCATTAGTACTATCGTGCTCATTTACATGTCTCTGCCTGTCTTTTCTTTCTGATTTACTGGTTCTAACATCTACCTTGCCCTCAAGGGCAACTAGGGATGGGCAAGAAATGCTGGCCAGCCAGCGACACCCACATCCCACAAAATGAATAGAAAAAAAATCCTTCCACTTGCTGACCTGCTGCTCTGGTTCTTAGACCCCTGACACTCTAGTTTAAATCCTCATGACTAACTTTCGCAAACCTCCCTGCGAAGATATTGGTTCCTCTCCAGTTTAGGTGCAACCCGTCCCTTTTGTACAGGTCACCCCTGTACCATACCTACAACCAATAAAACTAATGTAATATACAAAATACCATGCAAGGACTGTGAGAAATATTACACAGGCCAAACTGGCAATAAGGATACATGAACACCAACTAGCCACCAAGAGACATGATCAATTCTCACTGGTCTCGATACACACAGACAAAGAAGGACACAAATTTGACTGGGACAACACATCCATAATAGCACAAGTCAAACAGAGACATGCCAGGGAATTCCTGGAGGCCAGGCATTCCAACCGGAACTCCATCAACAAATACATTGAACTGGGTCCGATATACAAGCCACTGAAAAACCGAACCGGAAGTAATACCAACTACCCCAGCAAATCGAGGCATAGAAATAACAAGCGGGTCAGAACACCAAAGCTTCGCTGGAGGTGCACTGATGATGTTAACTAACAGGGTGACGAAACGTCTGCTATCAAACACACCAACTCAGCGAGCAAGCCTACAACCTCATCCATGACCCGAGCTACAAATATTCTCAAAAGCTTTGAAGGACCAGTTTATACTGGTCAACATAACAATGAAATGTTCCATTGTATTATTATATGTCATATGTGAGAAAAAAAAATCAAGAAATTATAGAATTTTACAGAAATATTTCTCTTTTCAGAAAAAATGTCATGAAATACTTTGTAAAAGTATCTGTCATATTTTGATTATATTATTTACACTGTTATGGATATAGGAGACTGTAATGTTGCATTAGCTGCACTTACGTAGTAGAAAATATGAACTGAGACCTCAATGACCACCACATGCATACTCAGACAATAACTTGCTGACAATCTACACTGCTAGGCAAGAAACCACAGGATCAGATTGAATGTGTGTTTTACAACTTGACTACCAGTCAACTATTAACCTAAATGGAGAATAGGAGAGGTGGAGTTGCAAAGGAATATTGCACCCAATCCAAGCAGTTTCCAAACGGACAGCTAAGATTACCGTTGCCACAACTAAAAATTAGAATTACTAACTGCACTATTTGCATTTTTATTCCCTCATTGAAAACTTACTTTGTTTGCTATTGCTTTGGATCTAAAGCATTATCAGAGATTACCTTTTTAGGTATCAGAATTGATGCCTTATGAAATGGATGTAGGGTAGGGTAAAACCAATGGGATTCACCTCTAATTCAACAAAATGGTTCTTTTTGGCTTGAACAGGTGAAAAAAAAAGTTTTACTGAGATTTGAAATAGGATCTTAAAGACAGTAATATCTTTAGGCCAAATAGTCTCTGAATCCTATATTGTCATACTTAAGTTTTTATTTAATTTGTATGTATGTATGATAGGCACAACATTATGAAACTCTTGATATATTAATTCTGAGTTAATGGTTTGTCGAATACTGAATATTTACCAATTAATCCATGAACACTTGTTGAGTAGTTGTTTGAAGGAGGAGCGTAAAATCCCAGGAAATCCACGTTGGTTGGATGGTTTTTCCAGACACGATGCAGTAAGATCAGGAAGACCATATCTTCTCCCACAGTGATGATGACATTAGTATTTTTTTGCACTGAGACAACAACACTAAAATGGAAAATACACAAATAGTTTGAGTAAATTTCTCAAGACTTACTGTAACAGTCTGTTTAGTACTTCAGAGCAGCCCGTTCAGTTCATTGATGATGGAAATGTTGTGTCTGGCATCTCCATGAAGGAGAAATTCTGGGAGCTGTAGGCCATTGTTGAGGATTTCAATTTACCCTTCATCTATGCTTCTGAAAGCCAAACTACTCAACATGATGAGGTTTGTTCTTATTAAGTGCATGCAATCTTGTGATGGTCAGAAATGCCGAGTGAACGGTTGACCTCAGCCTCCTCCTGGGATCCCCTGTATCACAGAAGACAGTCTTCATCCAATTCAATTCATTTCTCGTAATAAAGACAAAGATAGTGTACAGAGCAATGGTTAACAGGTCTTGACAATACTCTGGCAATTAATGCTGAAGACATATTCCAAAACTAGCCTTATTCCTAGCAGAGATAGTAGGAACTGCAGATGCTGGAGAATCTGAGATAACAAGGTGTAGAGCTGGATGAACACAGCAGGCCAAGCAGCATCATA